GTGGAGGAGGCGGGCTAGGCAGACATGTGCGGGAGAGGGAGAGCGTGTGAGGCTGTAGGGAGGTTCACACCAGGTGAACTGTAAATCCCAGCAACTACAACCCCCAAATATCAAGGTATTTCCCCCAAACTCCATCTGTGTTCATATTTGGGTATATGTAATATTGGTGCCAAGTTTGGTCCAGATCCATCGTTGTTTGAGTCCGCAGTGCTCTCTGGATGCAGGTGAACTACAACTCCCAAACTCAAGGTCAATGCCCACCAAACCCTTCCAGTATTTCCTGTTAGTCTTGGGAGTTCTGTGTTCCAAGTTTGGTTCAATTTCATCATTGGAAGGGTTCAGAATGCTCTTCCATTGTTGGTGAACTATAAATCCCAGCACCTACTTCTCCAAAATGTCAAGGTCTATTTTCCCAAACTCCACCAGTGTTCATATTTGGGCATATTGAGTATCCATGCCAAGGTGGTCCAGATCCATCATTGTTTGAGTCCACAGTGCTCTCTGGATGTAGGTGAACTACAACTCCAAAACTCAAGGTCAGTGCCCACCAACCTTTGGTCTTGGAAGTTCTGTGTGCGACATTTGGTTGAATTCCATTGTAGGTGGAATTCAGAACACTCTTAGATTGTAGGTGAACTATAAATCCCAGTAATTACAACTCCCAAATGTCAAGGTCTGTTTCCCCCAAACTCCACCAGTGTTCACATTTGGGCATATTGAATATTCATGCCAAGTTTGGTCCAGATCCATCGTTGTTTGAGTCCACAGTGCTCTCTGGATAGATGTGAACTACAACTCCCAAACTCAAGGGCAATGCCCACCAAACCCTTCCAGCATTTTTTGTTGATCATGGGAGTTCTGTGTTCCAAGTTTGGTTCAATTCCATCATTGGTGGAGTTCAGAATGCTCTTTGATTGTAGGTGAACTATAAATCCCAGCAACTACAACTCCAAAGTGAAAAAATCAATCCTCTTCCCAACCCCACCAGTATTCAAATTTGGGCGTATTGGGTATTTGTGCCAAATTTGGTCCAGTGAATTGAAATACATCCTTCATATTGGATACTTACATGACGATTCGTAACAGGAGCAAAATGAGAGTTGTGAAAATAATGTATTGTCGAAGGCTTTCATGGCTGGAATCACTAGGTTCTTGTGGGTTTTTCCGGGCTATAGGGCCATGTTCTAGAGGCATTTTCTCCTGACGTTTTGCCTGCATCTCTGGCAAGCATCCTCAGAGGTAGTCAGGTCTGTTGGAAATAGGAAAAAAGGGTTTATATATCTGTGGAATGACCGGGGTGGGGCCAAGAGCTCTTCTCTGCTGGAGCTAGGTGTGAATGTTTCAACTGACCACCTTCATTAGCATTTGAAGGCCTGCCTGAGCCTGGGAAAATCTTTTGTTGAGAGGTGTTAAGATGTGCCTGGTTGTTTCCTCTCTGCTGTTTTTGCTGTTGCAATTTTAGAATTTTTTTTTTAATACTGCTAGCCAGATTTTGTTCATTTTCATGGTTTCCTCCTTTCTGTTGAAATTCCCCACATGCCTCTTATGGATTTCAATGGCTTCTCTGTGTAGCCTGACATGGTGGTTGTTGGTGTGGTCCAGCATTTCTGGTTTCTCAAATAAGATGCTGTGTCCAGGTTGGTTCATCAGGTGCTCTGGCTGACTTCTCTGGTTGAAGGAGTCTGCCATGCCTTCCATGTTCCTTGATGCATGTGTTGGGCAATGCTGCTGTGTTTGGGGGTCCCCATCTATGTAGACTTCTTGCCCACAGCTGCATGGGATACAATGGTAGACTCCTGCAGAGGTGAGAGTGTCCCTCTTGTCCTTTGCTGAACAGAGCATTGGTTGGATTTTCTTGGTGGGTTTGTAGATTTTCCCAGGCTCAGCCAGGCCTTCAGATGCTAATGAAGGTGGTCAGGTGAAACATTCACACCTAGCTCCAGCAGAGAAGAGCTCCTTGCCCCACCCCAGCCATTCCACAGATATATAAACCCATTGTCCTAATTCCAACAGACCTCACTACCTCTGAGGATGCTTGCCATAGATGCAGGCGAAACGTCAGGAGAGAATGCCTCTAGAACATGGCCTTATAGCCCGAAAAAACCCACAAGAACCTTGTGAAAATAATGTGATGTTTGGGGATTACCACAACATGAGGAACTGTATTAAGGGGTCGCAGCATTGGGAAGGTTGAGGAGCACTGCTCTGAAGGATACACAATTGTTTCCTGAAATATTTTGTGCTTTGGTTGTTTGAATCCATGGATGCAGAACCTATGGATACTGAATGTATTTGTGAGCTTTACAAATACGTGAAAAGAATGATAACCTCACCGTCTTTGCAGATTCCTCGGAGAGTGTTGCGCGGGCGTCAGCTTTTCCAGTTGGCATCGTATTCTCTTTTACTGTATTTTGAAAAAAAGTTTCCTTCTGACTCTCTCGAATGTCGAAAATTATCAGTGCTGTTTGAGACTTTTCCTTTTCTACGCTTTCTTATACAGTGGAGAAATGCATGAGCTCCATGCAAGCGGGGACCCAAATGATCAAACTCCGAGGCAGTTCGAAAGGCCTTGTCCGTTTCTACTATTTGGACGAACACAAGTCGTGCATTCGCTGGAGACCCTCGCGGAAGAACGAAAAAGCCAAAAGTGAGTCGACTTCGTGGCAGGTTTGGGCGCCAAGATGGAGGGTTTTGATATGAACTGTGGATAAGTCAAGGATTATTCCGCAGAGAGGAGAAAGTACCGATTCTGCCCATTTATTTTTTACTAGCCGTGCCCTGCCACACATTGCTGTGGCTTATAGTAAGAATTTTAAAAGTAGAGATAGCTGTCTGGACTGTTATGAAAGAGAGGTACCTATCTATTCCTTGCCCCCTTTTTCTTCCTTCTCTGCCTCTTTCTATCATTGCTTTCTTTCCTTCCTTCCTTCCCTCCCCCTTTCTCTCCTTCTTTCCTTCTCTCCTTCCTTCCCTCCATTTCCTTCGTTCTTTCACTTTTTATTTCCTTTCCTCCTTCTTTCCTTTTTTACCTCTTTTCTGCCTTTCCTCCCCTTTTCCTTTCCTTTCTGCTTTCTCCTCTTCCTTCATTCGGTATCTCTTTCTTTCTTTTTCCTTCCTTCTCTCCTTCCTTCCTTCCTTCCTTCCTTCCCTCCTTCGTTCTTTCCCTCCCTCTTTCGCTCTTTCCTTCCTTCCCCCTTGCCCTCCTTCATTCCTTCCCTGTTTTCCTCCTTGCCTTCTTTCATTCCTTCTTTCGTTCTTTGGTTGCATCTTTCCTTCCCTCCCCCTTTATCTCCTTCTTCCCTTCTCTCCTTCCTTTCCTCCCTGTTTCCTTCGTTCTTTCACTTTTTATTTCCTTTCCCCATTCTTTCCTTTTTTACCTCTTTTCTGCCTTTCCTCCCCTTTTTCTTTCCTTTCTGCTTTCTCCTCTTCCTTCATTCGGTACCTCTTTCTTTTTTCCCCTTCCTTCTCTCCTTCTTCCCCTCCTTCATTCTTTCCCTCCCTCTTTCTATCTTCCGTTCCTTCTCCCTTGCCCTCCATTCCTTCCCTGTTTTCCTCCTTGCCTTCTTCTGTCCTTCCTTCCCATCTTTCTTTCATTCCTTCTTTCGCTCTTTGGTTGCATCCTTCCTTCTCTCTTTCCTTCCTTCCCTCCCCGTTTCTCTCCTTCCCTTCTCTCCTTCCTTCTCTCCCTGTTTCCTTCATTCTTTCACTTTTTATTTCCTTTTCCCCTTCTTTCCTTTTTTACCTCCTTTCTGCCTTTCCTCCCCTTTTCCTTTCCTTTCTGCTTTCTCCCCTTCCTTCCTCCCCCCTTCATTCTTTTTTTCCTTCCTTCCTTCCTTCTTTCCTTCCTTCCTCCCCCCCTTCGTTCTTTCCCTCCCTCCCTCTTTCTTTCTTTCATTCCTTCCCCCTTGCCCTCCTTCATTCCTTCCCTCTTTTCCTCCCTCCCTTCTTCTGTCCTTCCTTCCTTCCTGTCTTTATTTCTTTCCTTCTTCCATGTTAGGGAGGTCTTGGCTCTAGGGGTGCCTCCTGTTGTTTCTCCCTCCTGTTGCTTTCTGCCTGCAGCCGGGGCATCTTCCTCGTTCCCCTTCCCTTGTGCTCTGTGCCCACTTCTCCCACCGCCGGCACCACTGCCACCATCATCCTCTTGGGCTCCTTTGGTAGCTGGCAGATAGTGCCAGCCGAGACCAGGACGCATCGATAGTGGGTGCCCCAGGCAGGTGGTTGCCATCGATCACTCCGCCATTCGCTATCCATCCTTGGAGGCCAAGCAGAGGGAACAGAAGAGACAGAGCGGGAAACACCAAGTGCTTTGGACTTCAATTCCCAGATTCCTTTCTCATTGTGCAAGGTAGCAGAAGTCTCTGGGAATTGAAGTCTAGTGTGTCAGAATTACTGTGAGGAGCTGAACCTCCCTCCTTGGGCCTCATGGAGCCACTGCGGTGGCTTCAGCTGCTGCCGGGGCTTGCCTCACCAAGCCTCCATGCCCTCCACTGGGACAGGCCGCCTCCTTCCTTCTCTCTTTCTTTCCCTTTCCCTCAATCCCCCCCCTCCCCAAAAGAAAGAAGACTCTGCCTTCCTGCATGAAAAGGGACTCCATAGCTAGGCTTCTCTTCCCTCACAATGGACAACAGTTGGTTCGTTATTCTTCTCACGTGCTGGGAGAGGAGGGCTTTTGTGCATGTTCTGTAAGGTATTTTTGTTTGAAAGACGTAGATTGGATTAGTATGTGTTTTGCTTCCAAATTTGGTGTCAATTCGTCCAGTGGTTTTTGAGATATGTTAATCCCTCAAACGAACATTACATTTTTATTTATATAGATTTATTGTGCCAGAAGCAAATTGAGAATGCAATTATAATGTATAGAAAAACCACAGCCAAATTAAAAAACCTTCGCATTATACTAAATTTTGTTTGACCAGAAGCTGGCCACTTGGAGTGCCTCTGGTGTCACTGTAAGAAGGTCCTCCATTGTACATGTGGCAGGGCTCAAGTTGCATTGTAGTAGGTAGTCTGTGGTTTGCTCTCCACACTCGCATGTCATGAACTCCACTTTGTAGCCCCATTTCTTAAGTATGGGTCTGCATCTCATGGTGCGAGAGTGCAGTCAGTGCCTTCCAAGTCGCTCAGTCTTCTGTGTGCCCAGGGAGGGTATTTATCATCTGGTATCAGCCACTTATTGAGATTCCGGGTTTTAGCCTGCCGCTTTTGGACTCTCGCTTGAGGCGTTTCTGCAAGTATCTCTGTAGATCTTAGCTGTTTCTTGATTTAAGACATTGGCATGCTGGCTGATATCCTGTTGCACTCCAGAACAGGAATAGCCCTCTGACTTTAAAACACCACACGTTGAGTAGGAAAAACAATTCTTTTTTATTGAAGGTAAGTCAAAACAGCAGAGTAGAAAAACACTTTAAGGGAATAGATGAATCCAATTAGTCCAAGGTATAGTCCAGCAAAGTTCAAAAACAAAGTCCAAACTTCTCTAATCCAAAGAAACAGGGAAACGTTGATCCAAGGCATGAATAGGTAATCACAAGAGACAAAGAGTCAAACCATACAGCAAAGAAATCCTTAAACATGAACCAAGCAAGGCTTTCATGATCCAAGAACAAGAACTTAGCAGGGATCTGAAATGATCCTTCATCTGACTATATTTCCCATGGTTGAAACTTTATATCCCCTCGTTAAGACTCAGAAATTGGTTTCGTTTTCCCTGAATGCCTCTCATCCTTATCTGTCGAAGCCTGGCCGAACACCTAAGGCCTGGCCAAGATGTCTGTTTTGGCTAATTTCCCTTGTGGACATGATTAGGAAGTTGCATAAAAGCCTGGAAGCATTTGTTTAACTTTATTGAAGACAAGAGAAGTTTCTGTTTGATTGTTCATTGATAAAGGACTTTGTTATACTTCACAAGCCATCTAAAGACCATTTGTGGTGGAAAATCCTTGAGAACTTCTCTTTGGGGGGCCCTGGCCTCCCGCTGGGCTCAAGTTGCACGTCCTATTTTAGAGGCAATTCGTTACAGGCCCAGCGCGTGACAGAACAGATAGTATAGAATGATTGGCTGGACTGGATGGCCCTTGTTGTCTCTTCCAGCTCTATGATTCTTTGAGTCAATGATATATTTTTACACGGGAGGCTCTTATTTTGCTCCTTACGTAGTACTGATTTCACTTTTCTCCCCGTTCCGCTTCCTCCCTTTCCCAGTTTCCATAGATTCCATCCAGGAGGTGTGCGAGGGAAAGCAGTCGGAGATCTTTCAGCGTTACGCGGACGGCAGCTTTGACCCCAATTGCTGCTTTAGCATCTACTATGGTGACCATATGGAATCTCTTGACCTGGTGTCGTCCAGCGGAGAGGAGGCCCGGACCTGGATCACAGGGCTCAAGTACCTGATGGCCGGGATCAGCGATGAAGACAGCCTCTCGAAACGGCAGAGGACTCGAGACCAGTATCCTACAATAAGAAGGGAAGGGGGCACAATGGGCTCAAGAACCATAGCTACCTGATAGGCTTGGGCCCGAATAACTGTTAACAAAAAGATTTGTAGTTTTCAGTGGGCTGTTTTTGATAATATTCTCAGGAAGTGAGTGAAGGTACTTCAAGTCCCATCATCCATCATCCATCCTAGAGTGGCTCATGGGATGTAGAGTGGATCATGGGGGCTCCGCGTGCCAAGTTTGGTCTTGATCAGTCATTGGATGAGAGTCACAGTGGTCTCACAAAGTGAGTGAAGGTACTGCAAGTCCCATCATGCATAGTCCGTCCTCCCCCTAACCACACCAGAATGTTGAGTTGGCCATGGGGGCTCTCTGTGCCAAGTTCAGCCTTAATATGTAATTGCATGATGATCGCAGCGGTCACAGGAAGTGAGTGAAGGTACTTCAAGTCCCATCATCCGTGGTCATCCTCCTACAAACAGCACCGGGTTGTAGAGTGGGTCATGCGGGCTCTGTGTACCAAGTTTGGTATTGATCAGTCATTAGATGAGGGTTGCAGCAGCCTTGGGAAGTCAGTGGAGGTACTTGAAGTCCCATCATCCATGGTCTGTCCTCCTTGAAACTGCACCAAGATGTAGAGTGGGTCATGGGGGCTCTTTATGCCAAGTTTGGTCTTGATCAGTCATTGGATGAGGGTCGCAGCGCTCTCGGGAAGTGAGTGGTGATTGTCTTAAACCTCTCCCTCTCCCCCCCCCCCTCTGTTTCTCAGCCAATAAAAATTCTGGTGGTGTCCATGCTCTGATTGGCTGAGAATAGACACAACCAGCGACTACAATTCCCAAAACCTTCTCTTGCAATTTATCTTATTTTTAAAAGTGTTATGGTTATGGTTAAAACTTAAAATGTTATGGTTAAAACTTAAAATGTTATGGTTAAAACTTAAAATGTTATGGTTAAAACTTAAAGGTTATGGTTAAAACTTAAAATGTTATGGTTAAAACTTAGAGGTTATGGTTAAAACTTAAAATGTTATGGTTAAAACTTAAAGGTTACGGTTAAAACTTAAAATGTTATGGTTAAAACTTAAAGGTTATGGTTAAAACTTAAAGGTTATGGTTAAAACTTAAAATGTTATGGTTAAAACTTAAAATGTTTTGGTTAAAACTTAAAGGTTATGGTTAAGACTTAAAATGTTATGGTTAAAACTTAAAGGTTATGGTTAAAACTTAAAATGTTATGGTTAAAACTTAAAGGTTATGGTTAAAACTTAAAATGTTATGGTTAAGACTTAAAGGTTATGGTTAAAACTTAAAATGTTATGGTTAAAACTTAAAGGTTATGGTTAAAACTTAAAATGTTATGGTTAAAACTTAAAGGTTATGGTTAAAACTTAAAGGTTATGGTTAAAACTTAAAATGTTATGGTTAAAACTTAAAGGTTATGGTTAAAACTTAAAATGTTATGGTTAAAACTTAAAGGTTATGGTTAAAACTTAAAAGGTTATGGTTAAAACTTAAAGGTTATGGTTAAAACTTAAAATGTTATGGTTAAAACTTAAAATGTTATGGTTAAAACTCAAAGGTTATGGTTAAGACTTAAAATGTTATGGTTAAAACTTAAAATGTTATGGTTAAAACTTAAAATGTTATGGTTAAAACTCAAAGGTTATGGTTAAAACTTAAAATGTTATGGTTAAAACTTAAAACAATTCTTTAAAAATCAGTAGATTGGTGAATTGTTTTGAAACTTGGCGGGCTTGCAGTTGTAAATGGGGTCTAAAACTGAGATAATGCTTCATGCAGATAGGCCTTAAAATGGCTAAGGGTTGAGCCTTTAAAGTTCCAATGGGCCGAATCTCTGCCGAATGAAAACGAAAACACTTCCGAGTAACTTCCTGGTAAACGGAACGAGGGACTAGCTGAAAATAGGCGGTGTAACTGGAAAAGGATTCTTGATCTTGGTCATCTCACCTTTGTATGCTTGTGCAGAATTCCCGGTTCCCTTTCCTTAATTCCTGCCAAATGTGGTTGAAACAAACTTTTGATGAAGCGGATAAAAACGGCGACGGGAGCCTGAGCATTAGCGAGGTGCTCCAACTGATGCACAAACTGAACGTCAACCTACCCAGGCAAAAAGTCAAGCAGATGTTCAAGGTAAGTGGGGACCACTCACTGTTGGTTCAATTCCATCGTTGAAGGGGTTCAGAATGCTCTTTTGATTGTAGGTGAACTATAACTACAACTCCCAAATGTCAAGGTCTATTTTCCCAACCTCCACCAGTGTTCACTAGGCCTGTGCGGTTTCGTTCGTTAATTTCGTTATTCGTAAAACATTCGTTATTTTTAGCATTTACGAAGCGATATCAAAACATTTTTTCAAACCCGGAAGGGTTTTAAAATAACGAAGCGGCATCCCCCATCCTTTTAACGAGCTTCCGCCCGTTTCGTAAATTGGATGGAGGATGCTGGTGCCTGGGAGCCAATCCGGCGCTCCCAAGCAGTGCACCGTGGCTGTTTGTTTTTGATTGGCCGGCGAGCCCTTTCAAAGCGGCTCCGCGCGGCCGTAGCTCATTGCTGCAGAGGGCGAGGGAGAGAGAAGAGGTTGGCTTGGCAATGGCTAGCAACTGGATTGGATTCATTCCTTGCTTGGATTCATTCCTTGCTGCTGTGAGTGCTGCTTATATTCCTTGCTTGGATTCATTACTTCCTTCGGTTTTTGTGAATTTGTTTCTTAATTTTTTGGTTAATTTTCCATTTTTAAATATTTTTAATATTATTTTTATATTTTTAATATTATTTTAATATTATTCTTAAAAAATATTCTAAAAAGAAAAGACTCTTCTGTTGGTGTGTGCTCTCATTTGCTGTCTCCTGCCTGTGTTTGGTCCACATTTGGGCCATTTTTTGGTTAATTTTCCATTTTAAAATATTTTTTAATATTATTTTAATATTATTCTTAAAAAATACAAAAAATATTCTAAAAATTCGTTAATATTTACAAAATTTCGTAAATACCAAAACTTTTTGGGGGGAAAATTTTGTAATTATTTTAAATATCGAAACAAAAAAACACCCCAATTACAAATCGATTTTAGAACCAAATTTTTTCTTGATCAACCAGGCCTAGTGTTCACATTTGGACATATTGAGTATCCGTGCCAAGTTTGGTCCGGATCTATCATTGTTTGAGTCCACAGTGCTCTCGGGATGTAGGTGAACTACAACTCCCAAAGTAAGAGTCAGTGCCCACCACACCCTTCCAGTATTTTCTGTTGGCCATGGGAGCATTCTGAACTCCACCAATGATGGAATTGAACCAAACTTGGCCCACAGAACTCCCGTGAACAAGAGACGACTCAGTTTGAGCAGATCCTTTTGAAAGGCATCCGCGCTTTGGGCAGATGAATAACCCGACATTGGTTATGTTACGCAGAATCAATTGGTTGCGCAGTAGCAATGTCCAACATGCCCAGAAACCCAATGCCAAAGACCCAGGCCAGTCAGAAGAAATAAAACAGTAGAACTTTACTCTTGGTTGCAGAGTTGAAAATAAAACAGCTTGGCACACTTACATAGTCTTTGTAAGTAATACAGAATAAATCTTCTGTGTTATAAATCATAGAGCATAACAAAATAAAACATGGTTGCTTCACCATAACATAAGCTTCTTGCATCTGTTGTTGTTGTTCATTCGCTCAGTCGTCTCCGACTCTTCGTGACCTCATGGACCAGCCCACGCCAGAGCTCCCTGCCGGCCGTCACCACCCCCAGCTCCTTCAAGGTCAGTCCAGTCCCTTCAAGGATGCCATCCATCCACCTTGCCCTTGGTCGGCCCCTCTTCCTTTTGCCTTCCACTTTCCCCAGCATCATTCCCTTCTCTAGGCTTTGCGGTCTCCTCATGATGTGGCATTCAAAGGACTTCAACTTCTTGCATCTGCCCTCCAGCAAATCAAACAGCCAACTGCTAACCGTTTGCAAAAGCCTCAAAAAACTGTTACATTCAAGAGGCGTGGCCCAGCCTTGCTGAGCTGAGCTAGCTTTTGCAACTGCAGTTAATCGTTAACACTTTGCAAGGCTTTTCTGCAAGGTTTCCTTTAACACACACACACTGGACTTACAACAATATACCGTAATTAGGCCTGGGTAACAACGGAAAATTTTGTTTCTAAAATCGATTCGTTTTTTGGGGGTTTTTGCGTTTCGATATTTAAAAGAATTCCGAAATTTTTCTTTTAAAAAGTTCGATATTTACGAAATTTCATAAATGTAAAAAAAATTACGGAACATTAATAAAACAAATACGAAACAATAACGAATCGATTCGTTAATGGCGGACGCGACTGCGCAATACGCTAAAAACCCTCCAAATGGGACGGGGGGAACTTCTGAAGCTTCCCTCTCCCTCTGTTGTTGACTGTTGGTGTGATATTATAATTTTTTTTCACTAATTAAACAAAAAACAACTATAAAACTTGCCCCAGACATGCAGAAATAATAACGAAACGACCTCAAACCGATAACGAAACGAATACATAACGAATCTGAAGCATTTACGAAACGAATTTAAAAATTCGTTTCGTTTTTAAGTCGCTCCAGAATGGTTCGTTATTGCTTCGTTATAAAAAAAATAACGAATTTTTTACGAATTGACGAAACGAAACCGCCCAGCCCTAACCGTAATAGGTTATGGGCCCAGCACGCCGCGCAAATTGACTCCTCGATCCCTTTCACATTCAGGTCCCCTTCCAACTTTAAAAAGGAGGAAAGGAGAAGGACAAAAAGGAACGAAAAGAATGAGAAACACGGCCGCCTATTTAAGACTAACTGGTTTTTAATTTGGCTCGATCTCTCAGGGATATAAATTCACTTCTGCAGCCACGTTCTTCAAATCCCTCTCCTCTTTGAAAACGTTCCCGCTTCGTAAGTTTCAGCCGTAAGCTCTCGGCCCCCTTTTCAGACTCACGCCGAGCACCGGCGGAGCAATTTCCCTCGTCTTGGCCCAGAGCAGATTGAAGGGCTTCTTCAGATCTGACAAAAGGCAGCTCAATACTGACTAAATTCTGCTACGAACATGATTCACGAGTACCCAAGAGTACCCAGGATAGTACCCAGGATAGCTTTTCTTCTGCGATTTCTCCGTACAAAGGATGCTGCGAGGGAGTCTGAGATGGAATCAGGGTCATCCTGGAAATCGGGTGTCAGAAAGGCGGGATCGGCTCAAGTTGGGATGGTTTCTTTTGTATTTTGAGACATTAAAAGGACTTTGATGCTGCGCAACAAGGCAACGCCATCCCTTCTTGGGTAATTGGTGGCACTGCGGGGAAGTCGGAGTGGCTTTGTGGCAGGCAGAGGTGCGCGTACCTTTTGTAGTGTGCCGTTCGCCTCGGAAACATTTCTGCGGCATCAGCGGGAACTTAGGTGTGTTCTCAACACTGACAGATGTGCTGAGCAGGTAAATCATTGTCTTCCTCTACGCCCCCCCCCCCCCTATTTCCTACAAAACTTAATTCTGCCATTATTTGCCCAGGTAATCGAAAGAGATTCCCTACTTTTTGGAAGTAGTTTGTGTTGTGCGTTTGTGCCACTGAGACCTAAGGAGGAGGAGTCTTTTCAATGGCATTTTCCCTAGCCAAGGCCAGCTGATCCTTTTCAATGGCTTTCTTATACGAGGGTTGAATGAAAAGTAATGCCTCCACCTTTGTAACTCCTCAACAGATGGCAGTACTGGTATGCAGCAAGTACTGGCTTGTTCAGTAGACTCTCCTCTACAGTTACATTTTGGAGGGAATCCTTAGCATTGAACAGTTGTGTTGTTAAAATGAAAAGTAATGCCTCCACCTTTGTAACTCCTCAACAGATGGCAGTACTGGTATGAGGCAGGTACTGGCTTGTTCAGTAGACTCTCATCTACAGTTCCATTTTGGTGGGAAGCCTTAGCATTGAACGGTTGTGTTGTTAAAGTGCAGAGTATGGAACCCTGCGCAGACAGTTGGTCAATGTGACTTAAGACCGTGTGCGGCAGGTACTGGCTTGTTCAGTAGACGCTCCTCTACAGTTCCATTTTAGCGGGAAGCCTTAGCATTGAACGGTTGTATTATTAAAGTGCAAAGTATGGCACCCTGCGCAAACAGTTGGTCAATGTGACTTAAGCACCGTATGCGGCAGGTACTGGCTTGTTCAGTAGACTCTCCTCTACAGTTCCATTTTGGCGGGAAGCCTTAGCATTGAATGGTTGTGTTGTTAAAGTGCAAAGTAATGCCTCCACCTTTGTAACTCCTCAACAGATGGCAGTACTGGTATGCGGCAGGTACTGGCTTGTTCAGTAGACTCTCCTCTACAGTTCCATTTTGGCGGGAAGCCTTAGCATTGAATGGTTGTGTTGTTAAAGTGCGGAGTATGGAACCCTGCACAGACAGTCGGTCAATGTGACTTAAGCACCGTATGTGGCAGGTATTGGCTTGTTCAGTAGACTCTCCTCTACAGTTCCGTTTTGGTGGGACACTTTAGCATTGAACGGTTGTGTTGTTAAACTGCAAAGGATGGAACCCTGCACAGACGGTCAGTCAACACAACTTAAGCAATGACATACCTTCAAAAGCTGAGGATCACATCCACAACATGCTGAGAACTCTAATGGGACTTTTTTAAAGACATTTTTTTATCTATTTAGAGCTTTTCTATTCGGCCCTCCTCCTCACCCCGCAGGGGACTCAGGGCGGATCACAGTGTACACATATATGGCAAACATTCAATGCCAATTTTGACATACAACATATACAGACATACACAGAGGCTATTTAACTTTTTCTGGCCGCCAGGGGAGCTGTCGCTTTCATCGTCCATCTGCGACGCTGATGAAGCACTTCCGCATTCCCCGCATGCTTCCCCGCTGGAATGCTTTGTGGAGTCTTCTTTATGGCCTCATAAATCAGTTAATTTAGCCTCCCCACACTTTAAGGTGGTACCTAATTTTCCTACTTGACAGATGCAACTGTCTTTCGGGTTGTAAAGGTCGACAACAGGCTACACAATTGGTTGGAAACCCACTCCAACCCGGGCTGGCTTTGACAGGAATATATCACATGATCGTTTGGAATACGTAGCATAGTTGATGTATTATTTGTTATTCAGCAAACCTCCCAATAGCTTTGACTTTGGGAATGGGAGGAAAAAATATTAGTCTCTTGTGATGCATGCATGCTCTTGCGTTGCGTACGCAGAAAGAGCCTCTAGATTCCATAGGACGTATGAAAGCTTTGGCATGTTGGCATTGCTTGCTCTTAAATGCCAGCAGATACGAATGGATTCTGAAACTCTGGAAGGAGAATCAGACGTTTTGCTGTCCAAATTGGTGGATCAATGATAATAGAAACCTGAAGAAAAAGCGGCTTGGGTAGAAAGAGTGAATGCTGTTAAAAGACAGAATGAGAAATCAGTTAATGCCCGTTGATGTGCATTGTTTATTTATAGAGACGACGCTGAGTTACAATCTGTTCTCTGATGGTAATGGAATTTGATTAAGAAGGGGACCATCTTGGCCGTCTCTCTGGAAGCCTGCCAGGGACGGGTGCCTTGCCAAAGCAGACTCGGTCGCTGTCGAATCATCACAGAGCGTGATGAGAAAATGCCATCACGGGGACGCGGTTCCTCTTTGGTGAATCACAGAGTCAAAGAGTCCTAGAGTTGGGAGAGACCTCCTGGGCCATCATCTAGTCCAACCCCATTCTGCCAAGAAGCAGGAATATTGCATTCAAAGCACCCCTGACAGATGGCCATCCAGCCTCTGTTTCACAGCTTCCAAAGAAGGAGCCTCTACCACACTCCAAAGCAGAGAGTTCCACTACTGAACGGCTCTCACAGTCAGGAAGTTCTTAGAATCATAGAATCACAGAATCCTAGAGTTGGAAGAGACCTCATGGGCCATCATCCAGTCCACCCCCATTCTGCCAAGAAGCAGGAAAATTGCATTCAAAGCACCCCCAACAGATGGCCATCCAGCCTCTGTTTCACAGCTTCCAAAGAAGGAGCCTCCACCACACCCCAAAGCAGAGAGTTCCACTACTGAACGGCTCGCACAGTCAGGAAGTTCTTAGAATCATAGAATCATAGAATCCTAGAGTTGGAAGAGACCTCGTGGGCCATCTAGTCCAACCCCATTCTGCCAAGAAGCAGGAATATTGCATTCAAAGCACCCCTGACAGATGGCCATCCAGCCTCTGTTTCACAGCTTCCAAAGAAGGAGCCTCCACCACACCCCAAAGCAGAGAGTTCCACTACTGAACGGCTCTCACAGTCAGGAAGTTCTTAGAATCATAGAATCATAGAATCCTAGAGTTGGAAGAGACCTCGTGGGCCATCTAGTCCAACCCCATTCTGCCAAGAAGCAGGAATATTGCATTCAAAGCACCCCTGACAGATGGCCATCCAGCCTCTGTTTCAAAGCTTCCAAAGAAGGAGCCTCCACCACACTCTGGGGCAGAGAGTTCCACTGCTGAACGGCTCTCACAGTCAGGAAGTCCTTCGATATCATAGAATCATAGAATCCTAGAGTTGGAAGAGACCTCATGGGCCATCCAGTCCAACCCCATTCTGCCAAGAAGCAGGAAATTGCATTCAAAGCACCCCCAACAGATGGCCATCCAGCCTCTGTTTCAAAGCTTCCAAAGAAGGAGCCTCCACCACACCCCAAAGCAGAGAGTTCCACTACTGAACGGCTCTCGTAGTCAGGAAGTTCTTAGAATCATAGAATCACAGAATCAAAGAGTTGTGGGCCATCATCCAGTCCAACCCCATTCTGCCAAGAAGCAGGAATGTTGCATTCAAATCACCCCTGACAGATGGCCATCCAGCCTCTGTTTCAAAGCTTCCAAAGAAGGAGCCTCCACTACACCCCAAAGCAAATTCTACTACATAAAATTACATTGAAACATACATCATACATAAAATGCACACTGACAGAAACAACGGTCTGAAGTCAGTTAATTGGATGATAAGAAGCATGTTGGCCAGCAAATTGCCTTGATAGCCCGTAGTCAATCCGTGAATTCCATGGCTTAGGACAGACTAGAATCTAGAACTCCAAAGTCCCAGTCCAACTCTCTAACCAATATAACCACACGAACTGAACAGTTGGGCTCAAACTATACAGAAGCTTAGTTAGCTCTGTTTTCTTGAACAGAGCTAAGTGTTAGGGCTTCCTCATCTTCAGAGGAGGAAGGGGAGCAGGGAAGTGCTCAGGAATTGGAGGGAGAAGAAGAATCAGGCAATGAGGGTTTGAAAGTGCCCACATTTCTAGAGAGACGAAAAGAGACAGAGCACAGACGGCGTTCAGCTAGGATAGCTGCTAAAAACGCTGAGCTAATTGGGAGACGCCCTAGCACCTCCTGTGCGGGGAATTCAGGGCTATAAATCAGAGGCAGGAGCAGTCAGCTTTCGCTGGTCACAACGACCCTGATACTGATGTTTTCACTCCAATGGAATCTGCTTTGTGTCTACTGCTAAGAACTTAGTTCATCGTCCGTTGTCTGATAGAACACTGCTGTTTCTTTTGGGACTCTGTAAGAGACTTTAATTTGTGTCTGGATTAAGACTTCCTTGTTTTCTTTTGCACTTTTCCATTGCGTTTGCTTATCCTGTGTGTTTGCTGAAGTAAAGCATTTTCCTTTTACTTTCCACATTGTCGAAAGGCTGTTTCTGAAGGGCAACTCAAGACACTAACTTGCCACATCATTAGAAAGCCTTTGCCCTCTAATGATGTGGCACTCTACTACAGTTCTTGGCCTAGCGATTGTGACGTTGTCAAGATAAGGATGCCGACTAACCTCTTCTTTTTGTTGTTTGGTGTGACCAGGAGGCAGATACGGATGACAACCAAGGGACGCTGGACTTCGAGGAGTTCTGTGCGTTCTATAAGATGATGTCAACCAGGCGGGACCTGTATCTGCTGATGCTCACCTACAGCAACCACAAGGACTATTTAGATGTGGACGACCTGAGGCGCTTCCTTGACGCAGAGCAAAAGGTACTAGTCTTGCAAATGTCCCGTTGATGGCTTTAACTTTTTGTGAGTGTTTCTTGGGCTTCATCTTCCACACAAAAATGATAGGAGGAAAAGGTTGCTAGTTGGCTGGTCACCAGCTTGGTTGTCCTGATCCTTTGGATAATCATCAGATCATTGGAAGGAACCTTGGAGTTAATCTTATGTAGGGTATTGATTGATGTAGGGAGCACAGGGAAGCTTCCTTTCTGCTTCCTTGGAGACTAGGATGCGGAACAATGGCTTCAAACTACAAGAGAGGAGATTCCATCTGAACATGAGGAAGAACCTCCTGACTGTGAGAGCCGTTCAGCAGTGGAACTCTCTGCCCCGCAGCTTGGGAGTGATCCTGGACTCATCGCTGAGCCTGGAACCCCAGGTCTCGGTGGTGGCCGGGAGAGCTTTTGCACAGTTAAAACTTGTGTGCCAGCTGCGCCCGTACCTCGGGAAGTCGTATCTGGCCACGGTGGTCCACGCTCTTGTTACATCCCGATTAGATTACTGCAACGCACTCTACGTGGGGTTGCCTTTGAAGACTGTTCAGAAACTCCAACTAGTCCAGCGGGAGGCAGCCAGAGTACTTACAGGAGCGTCATACAGGGAGCATACCACCCCCCTGTTGTGTCAGCTCCACTGGCTGCCGATCCAATTCCGAGCACAATTCAAAGTGCTGGTTTTGACCTACAAAACCCTATACGGTTCCGGCCCAGTGTATCTGTCCAAACGGATCTCCCTCTACGTCCCACCTCGGAGTTTAAGATCTTCTGGGGAGGCCCTGCTCTCGACCCCGCCTCTATCACAAGTGAGATTGGCGGGGACGAGGAGCAGGGCCTTCTCGGTGGTGGCCCCTCACCTGTGGAATTCTCTCCCCGGGGAAGTTAGATCAGTGACATCCCTCCTTTTCTTTAGGAGAAAATTGAAAACATGGATTTGGGACCAGGCGTTTGGGCAATCTGGCAGATAAATAAAGGACTTTGACGATTGACAAGAATGGACAAAGTGGAATGGAATTATGGAACTCTGAAAGACGAACGCTGAGCATGAGATTAGCTTTATTGATTGTGTTATATATTGATGGTTTTAACTGTTATAATTGTTTTAATTGCTGTGTTATACGTATGTGTATTACTGTGTGGGCATCGAATTGTGCCTTTTGTGAGCCGCCCTGAGTCCCCCCTCGGGGGTTGGGAAGGGCGGGGTAGAAGTACTCGAAATAAATAAATAAGTAAATAAATAAATAAGGAGGAAGTCCTGACGGCTCTTCGTCATAGAGGATGGAGCAACAGCACCTCCTGGACTCCAGCCCAACCTTCCGTGGCATCAAAAACAGCTGGACACGGAATCAAAACAAAC